CATCGGGCTCATTGTAAAATAATAAGAATCTTGAATCCTTCAGAAAGCTTAAAAGGACCTTGTTTTGCAGTTTGCCATCCTACCATGACAACTATATTAAGAAATAGTATAAGAATGTTTCCATACACCACTACGATACGCATCGCCATTTTCGACGTCATGCATTACAAGTTAACTCGCTGATTATGGCGAAATCACGGAGACAAGTTAATATCGACCGTCACAAACATATGACTGTCAGACAGTCGGATTTCTAATTGATTCTGACTCTGGTTCGCAAGGGTATTGCTCTGGTAGTCAAGAGAGATGGAGACATGTGACTGAGCACCATCAACAAAGTGGAACAAATTGTGTTTCATTTAAGAATCTGGTGACGTCTTACGGGTAAAGAAGCAAAAGAGGGGATAACGAGTGAATTTAAAAACGCTGGAAGGGGTGCATTGATCTTTGTCTCGTGTAGATGATGGTAAAATGAAGAGGATTTTGTTGGTACATTTAATAGATCTGTTCAGAGATATTTGTGTAGGTTATGGATATGATTGAGATGCGATTCCCGCATGGATTGCATAATAAACTGTAAAACATATTGGGTAAAACCTACTCAACATCGGATCATAATTTGTCCGACCGATTTTTTGATTTTTTTTTTTTTTTGGGGGGGGAGGGGCAACTTGGGAATATTTTGCCCAATCGAGATTATTTGTGCCCGAGTTTGGGATATAATTGCCTTAGAGCTGGTTGGGTATATAATTCCCTTTACGGTGGGCAAATTTCTACCCATAGTGTTGCTTTGAAGGCCTAGGATAACCGAAGCAAAGAATGACAGAGCCCCTGTCCCACCATTACAACACAGAAGATCAAAGGCGTATCCAGCATAGGTTGGGGCTGGTGTACAGCCGCCCCTTATTTCTGGACGCGAAAACCTACAGAAGAACTGCAGTAGTATATACGGAAGGTAACCCATGTTTACGACATCCATCTGACAACCCCCTATCTTCTTGGGGCTCGTTCCTCCTCAGTATGGGTCCATTTTCTAGATTTCTTGCAAAGAGAAATACCATTCATCATTTCTACCACTTTCGAAAGAATGACAGGGCTATTCCTAAATATAGCTTCACTCATGTGACATTAATTTTCAGACTAAGTGAAAAGAATAAAAATACACATGTTAAACAGATGTGTGCCCGACAGGACAGAATCGAAAACCCCGCTGGAGCGTGAAATTATTTTCGTTTTGCCTTCATATTAAGCTCTTGGTCTTGCTTGATTGGCTGGCTGGCTGGCTTTCTAGATGGCTGTTGTTCTGTACGCGGAGCTGAGTTTTGCATCAAAGGTTAAATATAAATTCATATTCCATCAAGGAAGATTCGCTTGCCAATCCATTTGAAGTATTTCTTTTTCTTTTCTTTTTAAGCCGGGATCTTTTTGAAAGAATGTATCTTTCCCTGCCAATGAAGTCATTCGTATACAGTTCTTTAATTGATGTTTTAACGTATGACCCATAAGCGGGGAAATGATACTCCGTAAAGCGCTTACTGCCTCCTTGTGTATACCGCACAATGTATGCTCAATCGTTTTAATGCCAATCATTCATTAATAAAATTAGATGCTTGATTAAACAACTGGGCATGAAATTCTTTATCAGTATTCAGTTTAATGAACAATGCCTTTAGCCATTATTTTAAACATCAAAGACTTCATTAAAACAGTAATTATCATTTTTAATCATTTTTAATACTTAACTGTAGGCAGGATAGAAGAAAAAACTTGTCTTACTTTGAAATGTTTGATGAAAAGTAGGAGTAGAGGTGGGAAGAATTTAACGAGAAAGATAGACAACGGATAATAGAAATGTGATAAGAGGTGTAAATAGAAGGTTAGAAAGATAGAGAGACATACAGACAGACATAAAGAGGGTTAGAGCGAGATAGAGAGAGATGGGGAATAATACCGAACCTAAATGGAAACATATAGAAATATGACAAGATAGCTATTGCGAGTAAGGTATGGAGGTAACTAGAGTAAAGGAGAAACCAAATGCAAAATTAATAAAGTGATGGAAAGAGAAGAGGTATGGAAAGGGGAGATGATATTACAAATTAAACTTTTCCATTTCGATGTACATTACATTGTTGAGACTTGCAAATGTAAAAAGCCCTCTCAATATGCCTAGGTATTGAACATATGTTTCATGTACTGTTATGTTTGCTTTAAGTGTACTAAACTGAAATAAACTGAAGTGTATGATATATACTGGTATAGAACGGAAAGCAATTAGGAAAGATTTGTTTACACAAAAAATTACAGCGCCTTTTCAAAACTATGTTGATTATGCAATCTATAGATATTATAATTATTACTATCATCATCATCATCATCATCATCATCATCATCATCACCATTATCATTATTATTATTATCATTATCACTACTATTACTTATTTGTCGCCTCTCGAACTAGACTGTAAGTTCTCTCTCGAACAGCACTCTGGCCAGATTTTCAGTATTGGAAAGTGGTGATGATGACATTAATGATGATGATGAAGATGAGGAGGAAAGGAGGACGATGAGGAAGAGAATGAGGAGACGGGTAATTATGCTGCATTATTGTAGAGCGCTTAGAGACTTCTGACAAAGTAAGTGTTAGGCGCTAAATAAGCACTGTAATTATTATTATTATTATTATGATGGTGATGATGACAATGATGATGATTTTGATGATGATGATGATGATAGTTATGATGATGATGATAGTGATGATGACGATGATGACGGTAATGATGATGATGACAATGATATGCTATTTTTCTAATTCATATATTAATTATTTACCAATCAAAATCTTTCTCATATCTCTTTGTTTTGGGGGAGAGAAATTAAATCATCTAAACTTATGTTATTGTAGTCATCGATGCCACTTCCTCGGTCATGTTCGTACTCAAAAGAAATCGCAAAAGGCATCTTCGTTCCAAGAATATGTTGTATGCCTTTCTCCATACGCACCATGATGTTGCGGTATAGCGGTTCATTCACTTAAGTTATCTGAATCCTGAGGTTGAGGGTTCGAATGCAAATGCGGTATTAATGTTTTGGGGCACGATATTAATCAACATTGACCACCCTCGACCAATGCATAGGGGATAGGTGTCTTGTGGCGTGTTTAGAAAGCATTCCTTAAATGGGTAGGGCACCTACAAGTAGCTTTCTAAACTACCAACACAAATAATAACAATAAATCTGGATTTATATAGCGCTTAATACAAAATGCCGTCTAGGAGCGCTTTGAAGATATTATTTTCAATATCCCAATATTAACCGGATTCATTGACGCATACTGAGTGCACTGGGGAGTATTTCGACCATATGGACAACGTGTGGGCATATATCAATTTCCATCAGAAAGGCTTTCGTCATCCTACCTGTTTCCCATTCCTCTTCTAAGTAGGGACATTGAGTTACTCAAGCTGGAGAAGCTAATGTAGGTTAAAGGTAATACAAAGTTTTGGAAAATTTTGAAAATTGGGTGGAAAGTGAATCTTTACAATTTGATATATGTGGATGCCCCTGTGGATGTATTATAAGCACTAAAAAAATTAGCCCCCAAAACACTTCTGTTTTCGAGAAAAATTGAATATAAAAATTTACCGGTGCTCCCGATAAATTTTGATAAATTTCAGATAGCGCCTATGGCCGTACAATGGTAGCTGCGACCATGCAAATCTCAGAATATGTAGTTGTGATATAAAATTTCCAAACGAGAATAGCTAATAGGTCGATTTTAGTCAAGGAACATCGTTTCATAGCTAAATTAATATCTTGACCTTGAGAGGGAGCTATACAACATAAAGAGTTTATTATCTATAATTTCAGAACTTTAGACTCGATTTCAACCGCGACAACGATCAATGTATATTGTAGGAACGCATATGCTTCCAATATGTTCATTTAAACCAAATCCATGACCCCATACCAAAACTTTATAATACCTTTAATGTATGTATAGCAAAAGGTCATTCATAAGTACTGTGTCAGGGACAACTAAGATAAACGATCTTGGGGTGAGATGTGAATGAAGAGGAATAAAAGAGAATGAAAGTCTTTTCCATGAACATTATTTTGCATCCATACATTTTTCATTTCGTTTATTTCCATTTCCAACAAAATAAAATAATATACATGGGATTGCATTGTACATAGTAAAACAATGAAAGTTAACAAAGAAATGGTAACTATTATTGATCCACAGTGTACAACAAGCATTACCACATATTGGTCATAGAGGGGACTGCTGAAAAGCAAGGGTTTGTAGATTGCAGCCCCCTATATAACTTAAAGTTGCAAAAATAGTATATGAATAATAAGGGAACTTGTAACTGCTCAACAAAGTGAAGTTATCCTTTCGCCATGTATCTTTAATCTTGATTTCCTTATATAGACCCACTTTCCTTAATTAGTCCTGACGTATAGGAATGTAAAGCTTACTCTAAAATACAATGAAATATGATATAGAAAGTCAGCTGGGGTGATCTGAACATGTCCTTACTGATTACGAGAAAATGCGCAGTTTAATGTTATTAAGCTTCAGCTTTATACGTCATAGGAACAGTTTCCAACCGCCGTAAGCACAAAATATAGGTATGTAACTAGCGTAAAAATAACAATTTCATGGTCGCTGTGCACTGGAGTAACATGATGAAAATTGATTCGTCAGCTCGAAATGTCACGTGAGTACTGATCCGTATTCGCGCTTTATTATTGAATACCATTTCAGTTTTACACCCCCCCCCCCCCTTCTCGCTCTCTAAAACTTGACCCTGTGTGCTAGCCTGTTTAGCAGATGCCAGTTAATTACTTCTTGTCCATTTAACCCCAACTCTGCCAAGCTTGACGGCTTACGTTGTTCTGATAATGGCACTAGACATCTCCAGTAGTTAATGAGCTATCCTTAAATGATCATTTAGTTGGCATGTCTGAGGAGTGCTCGCTCGGAATGGTATAAATGGGAGACGGTGGCGGCTTAGAAGGCATTGTCTGCGAATTTTAAGCATTGACTTTGAGAAGTGTCTTCCACTCACCACAACCGGTAAGTACCTACACATCTTCTTACTAAAACTGATTAAAATCATTTTATCGTAAACTCGACTGTAAAGACTTTCGAGAAATCAATCCAAGGGCAATCGCAAGGATCCTCTTTTGAGTATCGCATCATGTTCAAATTGCGCAATATGTTCTCGAATAAAACAGGGTGTCGGAAAAGGCTATGGAAAATGCCTTCGGGTTTCTTTTCCGAAGTTCCTTTTTTAATCGTGTTTGTATCAGCTAAAGATCGAATACTTAAAACAAAACAAGATATTTTTTCTGTTTTAATGTTGCCGCATGTAGGATCCATTCCAAATTTAAGCAATATTTTTGTGAATAATTTATTCGAAATACGCATACCAGTGTTTATGCTAGATATATTTTTCTAAACGTTTATCGTATACATTATCACAACAACAGTATTACGTTTTTACTACTTCATGTCTCCCCATTGTCAAATTAAATCGCTTCTTATTCATGATTTAGGTCATTATTCTGTATACCTGTACATCCTTTTACCCCCACTCAGTCATGATAATGCCACTTATCACTATTTTGCCTCTTACGCAAGATCATTCTTAGCCCTTTTTGATTATCTCTTTATTTTTATTTTTGTTTTTGTATGGGGGTGGAACATTTTCCTCTGTAGAATATCTACCCTTTAATTTACAAATCCAGTGTTTCCGAGCTTTGTATGTCATACTTTGGGAGATGGTTCTTCAGCCAAAATTAAAACATTTAATCATGTTTACGTTTCCACGATTTCTTTTCTGGGGGAGGGGATTGTTTTATGTTGTTGGTATATTTAATTTTGGTTTATCTTCATTGAAAATTTCAATCGAATTAATGTTCTACTTTCTTTGTTTCTTTGCAATGGTTTTGTTTGGTTTGTGCGACGTCATAATAGAAGAAATCACCATGTCCAAGGCTCTATTCCTCGTTCTTGCTGCCCTCCTCATCGTCGCCGTCGTGGCTGACTTTGACTTCGAAGAAGATGAAGCCATGGATGAGATGCTCTCCTTCGACAAGAGAGGAAGCATGATGAACAAGTACAGATGTAAGTCTTTACCTGGTTTCACGTTTTAGTTGGTATACTGGTATATTTAGCTATTAACGGGGAATCAGATAATTTTCACTCTCAATTTCGGTTTTTAAATTGTTATCTTATATATCATTTTGTATAGCTGGCTTTAGTGATAGAAGAAAGTCAAAGATAAAACAAGAAGTTGTTTTAATTTCCAGATAAAGCTGACAAAAATTAGTTATTGGGTCGTGGAAGTCAGGTTATAAATGATATGAGCCACCTCGTATCAGTTGCCTGTAGGAAATCCCTCATTCTAGTCGATAATTTTCGTTTATTATTCGGTTTCCATGCGAGCCTAATTCCTTGAATCGCTTACAATTCAAGTAACTACCCTTTTTTTTAGTTATCACAAGTAGCTAACTGGCATATCTCCATTTTACGATTCCCGCACGGTCTCACCATTTAAACATATTTAATAGATATATACAAATTTAAAGAAAAATATAATTCGTCTCGGATTATCTACATTGGAATCAGCTTTATAAATCGCTAGTCACCCGTTCTTGAAATTTCCATCCATACATTTTTCTTATTAAAATATTAGTCGTGTTCGAACACCCGTAGATATGTTACGTAAAAAGATTACGTTAAGTTGCTCATGAGGGGAAACAAAATGATTTGTAATAAACAAAAAATAATAATAATGATATTGAAAGGCCCTTTGTTCCTGTGAACATTAGTTTCATATTTGTGTTTGTTTGTTTCATATTGTGTTATTCCTTGTGGCATTCATTGTACCTTCTGTGGTTTTTGTTTTGTTCACGCAGTCTGTATGAAGGGAGCCAACAGCTGCTGGTGTAATAAGAAGACCAGGAAGGTTGTCTTCTGTACTGGTATGTAGGAATAATTTTTGTCTTTCGAAGTCAATTATGTTTGTTAATCTTTTCTTTGATAAGACCCTCGCTCCATATGAGTCGAAGGTTTACAACCATCATCATTTTCACCTTCATCATCAGTATAATGATTAGATTATAATAATGAAATCACAATGACGATGATGAAAATAGTTTTTTGTGGCCGCATTCATAATGATGACTTGAACAAACATAGTTGCTTGGTAGCTGGCAACATTGTATATGAATACTATCATGCTTGTACGTGCAAGAAGTACGCTAACCCTCTGGCGATTTACAACATAATATTATAATTATGCAGAATAACTTCACACATTCCATCATCAATGTAACATATAAAATCAGTATATTCCGAATACACAGGAGATGATCAGGGTTTGCCTAATGCCGATCTTGTATTTTCCCTTCGTTTTGTTTCTCAAAAACTACAGGAAAGGACTAGACACTTCTCTTCGGTATATTAACCCTTGACCCCCCAAGATACCAAATTGAACACTCATCCTGCCAACATCCATCGACCAGATACCAGTCCAACCGAAACGAGATAGCAAGCTTGTTCATCTCTAAGATATGAAGTCTTTATTTTTGTATCAAAAAGTGAACTAACCTTTTCGAAGACAGCGCAAATAGGGCTGACGAGCCCAATTTTTTGGAAAGAATGTCCATAATTTGATAAAATTGTAAAATTTGCCAGACGATTAAAATCGTAATAACCCCTCCTTACAATTGAATCGTTTTACCTGAATACATTCTTTACTGTGTTGCAATTATGAATTGTGTAATTTGAGATGATGAACGTGACTTTGAGAGAGAGAGAGAGAGAGAGAGAGAGAGAGAGAGAGAGAGAGGGGGGGGGGGAGGGACAGAGACAGACAGACAGAGACACAGAGAGACAGAGAGGGACAGAGACAGACAGACAGAGACACAGGGAGACAGAGAGAGGGAGAGGGAGAGGGGAATATCAAGAATGAAAGCAAGAGAAAGTGAGCAAGGTGAGAGAGCTGGAGAAAGAGAGAGGGAGAAAGAGAGAGACAGAGAGGGAGAGAGATAGAGAGCTAGAAAGTATATGATAATTTGCGTGTGTTACGTGTGCATGTGTGTGTGTGTGCCTGTGTGCGTGTGTGTGTGAGAGAGAGATAGAGAAAGAGAGAGAGGAAGTTCGAGAGAGAGAGACAGGCAGACAGAGAGGGACAGAGACAGACAGACAGAGACACAGAGATTCAGAGAGAGGGGGAGTGAGAGGGGAATATCACGAATGAAAGCAAGAGAAAGTGAGAAAGGTGAGAGCTGGAGAAAGGGGAGAGAGAAAGGACGAAATTGTAAAGAGTGAAAGATAGAGGGAGAGAGAGGTCCCCGGAGAGGGGGAAGAAGAACAAAAATAACGACAGAAAAAGACAAAGATGGAGGAGCATTGATAAAGTATGTGATAAGTGATGCTTGAGAGAGAAAGAGTTTTTGGAATGGGATTTAAAAGAAAGAGACAATTTTTACGAACCATATACATATCCATGTATATTAATGTTAATAATGGGCATACGTAGAGAACTGAATTGTAAAGGGTTGATTTCTTATTTAGAACCTACAGTATGACCGTCTTTACAGGTATTTAATTATTTTTGTTTTTAACTCATACTGTTGTAACTGTTGTGTCTTTATGATTTTGTGATATGATTTTAAAATCTAACGTCACCTTGTTGGCTTGTTGTGACACAATGAGACAGTGGAGAGAAGGATGAAGAGATGGAATGGAGAAAGGAGAGAAATAAAGAGAGGACAGTCTCAGAATGAGACTCTCTTAAAGCCCGTCTGTACTAGTTTGGCCATTAGGATTAGACCTACATGTACCTGCAAGGTCACTGACAGGTGGTTATCTCATCAAATCAGCTCTCATTTAACATAAGAAAAAGTGGATCATGGGGGACCAACAGGCACCGATTGGGCATTGTTTTCTATATAGAGGGAGCAAGTAGCTATAAGTAGGACAGTGTGGCTTTAATTCTTCAATGTTTCCGTCACTTTGTCTTCGTGATTCTCACTCAATTATACCTAACACAAGTTAACATGAGTTAGTGTTGATATAACGAAAGGAGCTACAATTCGCTTGAAATTGCTATTCTGACTTAAAACCTGTTTGAGCGCAACGTGATTGATGTTTACATGAATCAAGTGAGTCATTATTGTGCTAAGGGTAAAGAGCGAACTTGCACGCCCCTTCTAACATTTCTATCTCTGTCGGGAAAAGGGGTAGTGGTAAATCCTAGCCCAATTGTAAGTTGAAATCGTCTAATAGTAATAAGTTGATCTGAGGTATTAGCTAATCACATATCTATTACAGTATTATACAGATATAGAATCTAGTGACATGCTTTAGTACACCTGTGTTTGGATTAGCATGTCTCTGCATGACAGTCACGTGACGTATCCACTAGGCCACGGCACCTCTACAAATACAGATGATGCATATGACACAATGTTGTACGTATCCTCGGGAAGGCAAACGTGGGGGCACCCCCCCTCCACATCCCCCTTAAATGTATAGTGTACTAGCTGCCCCCGTGACACTTTTTGAGAAAATGCAATTAAAAAATACAAAATAAGTCAATACCGAATAGTGTAAATATTATTTTATTTGTTATTACGTCAGTTCAATATTTCAAACGATATTATATTCATTCGGTTTCTTCGCTATCTTGCAAAGCAACCAGTAACTACGCCTTTACCCCCCCCCCCCCCCCACGCTCATTAACTTAACATCATTAATAATAACATAACATTAGTTATTTCACAAAACAGTCAGTAGAGGAAGAAATATATGGATAAATGCAAATATTGCACATACCGCTCACAACCATTATGTATCATGCCATAGGTTAACATCATAAATAGTCAATCAAAATCAAGGAATATATCGGAAAATGCATCATGTATGCTTGTGTAGCTCGTATTGCATTCAGCAAAATTAAAAAAAAGGATTTTTTTTTTTTTAACATGGGGTACACATGGAGACTGATATTATAATAGATTGAAACCATCAACAAATGTTTGTATATACTAGCAATCGTTTTAGGTGAGTTTCCCTGTAAACAACTTTTTCAACTGATGAAAGATTACTAAATGCCTTGTCATCTATCCATAAATGAAGAATACCATGCTACATCAATCACATTCGATTGTCTAGTTGTTAGTTTGTCTTTTTCTTGTTTTAAGGACTGATTTCAGTTAATTTTTGAGTCACTTAGAGTCGTCAGATATGCGCATATTTATTTATCGGTGTACTCTAGTTTTGATTATTTTTAATTTATGTTGTTGCATTCATTGATTGACATATTTCTCGATACATGTCAACCCCCCCCCCCCCCCCCCCCCCCCCGCCGCCCCGCTCCCACGCACATACCATTTCCGGTTGTTTCCTCATGCACATCATGAGTCACAATGCATACCATGTGAGTACAAAGCATCACAATCATATCTCATAATTGTTTTAGGTCGCTATTCATTTCGTTTCCTGGTGTGATATCGTGATAGGTATGTTATTACTTGCTAATCTTGCATATTCATGCCCCTGCCACACCAACAAGAGTTGACACCGGCCCGACGACATGCCGATCAAAACCTGACATTACCCTCAACGGGCGAAGAATCATTCGGATTGGAGTCGGGTGGGCGGTGTGACTGAGGCACTATTTGCACATAGTACCCACACAAATATGTTGACACTGTACCGTTTGGGGGTAAATAAATTAAAAATCCATACAATATTTGACAGAGTATGGTTTTGGATCGGTAAACTACAAACCTTGAATTATGTCATGATAGCTTTGCTGGAACGAAGCACATAATAGCGCAACAATAAATTGATAAACAAAGTCAAAGGAGTGTATGTGTATTTAGGTAATCCTGCTAGATATCTTTGCATGCCCCTACATAATAATGATTTGAAGTATACAATTATTTCTGTGCCATTTGATATTTTACAAATGTTTGAACTGCACCAATTTTCAGAAAACTTCGTAAAATATCTACCTATACCCAAGGGCCTCGTCTTATAAAGAGTTACCTCAAAAGTCCTCAAATCAATCGCAAGTTTTCAGTCTCCTATCTCTTATGTACATAGTTGCGATTAATATCAATTCTTTATAAGACGGGGCCCTGTTGTAACAAATGTTCCAAAGTAGAGTTAAAAAATAGGTTATACTCAAAATTAATACCTGGGAGTTGTTCTCTATTTTACTAAAAATTATGCCAGAATGGAGTGTACAATCATTTGTGCCAAGTGTAACGAATAATATGTACTTGCGATCCATGACGTCCGAAAGAAATGCCCCGAATCACTCTGCGATACTGGGGTAGCACACGACTTTCATGGAACGTTTAAAAAAAGACGTTCTACAAACGTTTATATACTCTTGGGACGTCTTTGAAGCGTCATAAAAACGTTGTATTTGCTGATAGTAGGACTAGGCTCTATTATCAAGAGTGTTCGCATACACAGGCTTTGGGGTACCCGATTGGAATCCATTCCTTTTGTTCCTAAATGGGAAACTGCGTTGATTCTGAAGCCAAGGCTTATCCTTGCTCGGCGCAGCAGGGTACACTCGTGGCTCCGCGTACACGTACTCGACATCCGATTCGGAATCATTATTCAAGTCGTCTCCTCTCGGTGGCTTGCTCGGAGCAGCGTTGACCATGCCATCCACTGTTTCCATTGGGACCGCGTAGTCACCCGTGACGCTGACCATTGATGTCGCGCGGCTTGGTATCACGGTTCTTTCGTAGTCGTGGCCGAGTTCATTATCGTTCATGTTCGTCATGTCCGTGTCTTTCGTGTTCCCCTCACGTCTTCGGATTCGACAACTGAATATAAAAGATGAAACACGAAGTATAAAAAGAGGAGAAATACCAGGAAAAACATTTTTTTTAAAGAGCAACAAATTTCAAATCTCCTGCTACACAAGATTTAATATGACCTCTCTATCTTTCACATACTCGAATACCTCAGTCACTCCTCATTACCGACTACACATCGACTCCACATTGACCGACTCTTGAGCATTGGGGATATGCAATTTTGGTTCAGACTGTCGTTGGTCTTATGTCAGTTATGTTGATGTGACTGATGTCTGAAGAAGAAATGAGTTAACGGATTTCCTTAATATAGTTGGATTCTTTAATGCTCACTGAAAAGATCATTCTTTAGTAAAAGGACATGATTGAATTGATAAAACCGCGAATGTATTTCATACAGAGCTAGAATCGAAATTTGTAGGCACTATCAATACCGAATGCGAAAAAAATGAATTTGTTATAGATAACATTATATGAAACCGAGAGGAATCAATTTTCGATAAATCAATTTATTCCAGAAAACAGTCGCGTGATATGTCCAGGGTTACTTGCACTATATTTTAATGCTAGGGTATAACTAGACAATCAGCAAACGGAACTTGATCTTCTTACCATAGATAGATACATGTTAAGAGCAGAATTAGGTTGAGTCCTAGAGATAATCCAATGAGGATTATGTGTTCGAGGGCCAAGCCCCAGAATATCACTTCCATCTCAAACTAATCAGTTGCCCCCGTGGTCTCCGAACATGTCATTGGATCACAGTGCATCAATGTTCCTTTGCTTGCAACAGTCATAAAGAAGGGACATCACTCACGAAGCAAAATGCAGGCAAATTGAATAAAAAACAGCGATTAGTAGAGAACATTCCAGTAATATGGCCTCC